TGTGGACACCTAGTCAGGGTGGATAGAAGCCCATCCAACTCAATCAGAAACAGTGGCCACAGTGGCCAGGGTACTTGTCCAAGAGCTCATTCCCCAATTCGGCATTCTCTCCACATTGGGGCCCTAAAACGGCCCATCGTTTATGGCCCAGGTTTCTCAAAAACTAGCCAAGATGTTAGGTATTAATTGGAAATTACACTGTGCTTACCAGCCTCAAGGTTCAGGATGGATAGAGTGTGCTAATAGAACCCTAAAGATGACCCTTACAAAGCTCCTGATAGAACTGGGGGGAAATTGGCTCAACTTATGACCTATGGCACTGTTGAGAGTGCGATGCACTCCATAAAAAGAGGGATTCGCTGCTTATGAAATCTTATATATTAGACCTCGGCTGCCGGGCCTACAGGGTCCCTTGATTGAAAATGCCTGTAACTCTTCCATTACCACTTTTCTAAAAGGTTTACAGGTCACCCAACAGGAGATACAGAACAAACTCATCAGTACACAGGCAACAGCTTTCCCATTGGCTAGACCAATACACTCCTATCAGCCTGGAGATCCGGTGTACATCAAAAGACACACATGTGAGGCCCTGACACTACTCTATTATCATTGGGGATGCAAAGTATAGCCAGACAGCAGGAATGTAGTTTTTCCCAGGAGTAGAGGGCTGAAGCTCTCACAGGCAAACAGCAGCTAACTCTCACCAACCTCGCTTTTTATTAGATACATGCACAATACTTCCATGAGAATAAACAGTTAGTTCCTTACAGATTATCTCTAGCAAAGCATTAGAAGATATCTTTTAGGAACACCTGATTCTAGTTATTCATATACTTTCTCAAAACAGACTGTTCCCAGAATGTTATCGGATGGTTCTCAAGACTGTTTCCAGCCTTGAACTTCTGAGTTGTGGCTCCGTGTGCAGAATCACAATGCAGTTACTATTCCAATCCATGTCCCATGTAACCTTCTCCTCTACACTGCTCTACAAAGGACCCTTTCTCATGGTATTTGACCACTCCAACTGTGGTCAAAGTGCCTGGAGTAGCTGCCTGGACACATCATAATCACCTCAAAAGGGCCCCACCAGAGGAGGATGCAACTAAATACAAATGGAAGATCATCAGCCAACCAGGAGACAAAAAGATAAAGCTAAAACAAATAAAACCCTGATATGACTATCTGGGGCCCAGATGAATAGAGTTTATAGAAATATTGACCCTCTCATATTGGTGTTTATTATAGTCTTGTTTGGGCCACTATTTTTTGAAACATAAACAGAGCTACCACAGACCCAATTAGACAATCCTGACAATATATAGGTTCATTTGGCACAATCACTTAATATATCTAAATTCTATTCAACTGTAAACATAAACTTACACTATATATTGGGAAGTTATCTTGTACCCGTGTGCACTCCTTTGAGCTTGATACAGCGCTATACGTTCTTTGCTTAAAGATATCCCTGGAAGGGATCTCAAGAGGATAGATGCTATTGGGGAATCCCCTCCTATCAAAAGCCAAAAAATGCTATTAAGTTATATACACCTCAGATGATTACATTAAATAATATAGAATGTGCTATATATAAAAATTATACTAATAAATGTTTAAAATTACAAAAATTAGAAAATAGGACCTGTTATGAGGAATAGAAAATTGTACATAATGATGGTCATATACCTCTGCCATTGGGTTGGTTTTATACATGTGAAGGAGTAACAGTTAATTATATTCCTGCATATTTGTTTGAGATTTGTTGCTGCCTGAGTTGTTTAGCTATAGTTCTACCAGATTGAACTGATTTGCTTGGGCCCAAAATGACCAAATGTTGGTCACAGTATACTGAAACAGGATGTGATGATGATGTGGGTCTTTTGACAGATGCTGAAGTAATACCTATGATAATATCTGTACTTGCTCAACCTGCCATAGGAATTCATGCAGAAAATGCAGTACAGAATTTGGCACGTAAGGTAGTTAAGAGCCTAAATGATACTTTATCTGCTCTAGCATTTATTAACCAAGAACTAAAAGAACAACACCAGGCCACTTTAGACAACAGAGCAGCAATAGATTATTTACTTCTGTTTCATCATCAAGGATGTGAAAGAGTAAAAAATATGTGTTGTTTTAATATGACTGATAATAGTCCAAGGATTCAATAAAAGATAAAACAGCTCCAAGAATTATCACAAAAAATACATGATGAAGATGTAGGCTAGGACCTATTCACTTGGCTGATTTAATGGCTGCTAGATATGCATTGGTTAAAACAACTTTTTGTCATAATTATAATAATGACCTTGTGCCTATTACTATGTTGTGCCTTTGCCCCATGTGTAATAAATTGCTTCAGTATCTATATTAAAGGACAAATAGACTCTGTCAAACGAATGGTTCTCAGCTCTTCCACAGGATATGTGCCTCTAACTCATGAAGAGTTAATGAGAGAAATATGTACAGACATGTAAAAAAAAAGCCATTATTCACGTTAGTTACTAGAAGAGGGGGAAATGTTAAACCCAAGCAACCAAAATGACTCCATTTTGTCTAGCAAACTCCTTTCTGTTAACTAAAGCTTCTTGTCTGGAAGAGACTGCCCCCTGGTTGACCTCCCACAGACACATCTAGTGTTTGCTGATAAAAGAAGGTGTTGGAAGACTGCTTGCTGCTTGACCCCCTGAAAAAACATCTGGGTATGTCTGCTGGTAAGAAAGAGATTCTCCTGGAGAAATCACCAAATGTACCCAGTTGTCACCCCCACCCTCTAACTGCCCTTCTGCTTTTGTAATCTGAGCTTCGCTTCCCTGCCATATTTCTGCTCACAGTCCTATAAAAACACCTGAGTTTGGATACCTGTTGTCTCTGAGCAGAGTTGGGTCCTGGCCAGTGTAAATAAAATCTTGTCCTTCTAGACTTGCATTTTCTCTTCTGGTCAATATAACACTATGTTGGGCATTCATGGTTTCCATTTCTTTCCTATGCTGGACATTCATGGCTTCCAGCATTGTCCTAAGCTTAACATTAAAAAAAAATCGGTTTCTGTTCTAAGTCTCTAATCATGTCTTTCATTCTGCTCACTATCTCTGTAGTTATCTGGGAAATTATTTCTGTTTGAGTTTTTCTGGAGCTTCATTCATGTTTTATTATTTCCTGTGCTATCAGTTCAGGATGTCTAGGTGGTTGATTATCAGATTTTTCCACCTTGTTTCCCTAAAAATTTGCCTTTGGAGAGCTGGAAGTCTGGGTGTGCACCTTGCTTATATGTCTTCTAATTTCTAATTTTGTTGTTAGTTATGTGTTTTGCTTCAATTCATTGTCTGATACTTCAGTATTTCTTATTCTGAGTATTTTTATTACTTGTGTTTAGAGGCCATATGGAGTGATACCTTCCAGGTGTAGCTGGCCTTTTAAGGCTTTGAGTCTCTAATGATTCTTAGGCAATGTCTTTTTCAGTATTCCAGGGAGGAAATCTCACTAGATTAATCATGATACCTTATGCCAACTGACACAATCAGCAACAACAATAGTATCAAACAGCTTAGAAAATGACAATTTTTGGTAGCAGTTAATCTGTCACCTTTAACCACATGGGATAGGTCAAAATCTGTTGCCAGAGTTAAATGGAATCTCAATGTTGTTTAAATTTACATTTTTTGGGCCAGGGATTTGGCTCAGTGATGCCACATATTGAGGATATACTCCTAAGTGAAATAAATAAGTCCCACATGTATAAATACCATATAGTTTCTCTGGTGTGAAAAACTATAATGGTACATAAGATTCTAATGATATAATTGACCATGTGAAATAGGAAGAAAACAGATAAAGGTATAGGGGAAATGGGAAGGATAGGACAAAGGTAATAAGGGAAAAGGAAAAAGAAAAGAAAATGAAAAAATGGAAATAAAGCATTTGTAAATAGGGAAGGGAGGTGGGGGTGAAGGGAGGGCAGGGATAAGGAGAAAAATGAGAACCAAGACCTGTCATGTAAAGGTACAAGATCACAATGATCAATGAAACTATACTGTATACCTAAAATGTACCAATAAACTCAATGAGAAAAAAAACTTATTGGAAGCCTGGTTTATTATTCATGAAGTTCCTAAAGTGCTCTTTGTCATTAAAGTATCTTATTTCATCAATTTTGAAAGATAGTTTTTCAGGGTACATCAATGTTGGTGTAAGGCTGTTTTCCTTTAGGGCTTTAAATGCATCACTCTAAGCTCTTCTTGCCTTGAGGGTTTTGTGTTGAGAAGTCTGCTGTGATTCTGATAAGCTTTCCTTTGTATGTGCTTTGTTTCTTTTCTCTAACTTCTTGTAAAATTGTGTTCTTCTGTTGGATTTCTGGAATCTTGACTATTATATGCCTATGTGTAGATTTTTTTTATCATGGCTCATTGGAGTCCTATATGCCTCACTTATCTGTATGTCAAGTTCTTATACCCTACTTGGGAAGTTTTCAATCATTACCTTTGTGAACATTTTGTTTATGTCATCTTCACTCTCTCCTGTTTCTTCATTGACTCCAGTCTTAAGTTTTTCTTTGCCTCGTCTAACAGCTCCTGGATTGATTTATCATGGTCCCTTAGTATTTTAAAGAAATGTACCTTTTCCTATTCACTAATTGTAATCCTGTCTTTTATATCTGAAATTCTATCCTTGCATTGGCTCATTCTGCAGCATAAACTTTAAATGGATTTATAATCTCTTGGAAATCTGTTTGCATCTGTTTTATGGATTTTATTTGTTTCTTATGTTGGGATTTTATGATGTTTCTCAGTTCCTCTATTTTTTAAAAATCTGTGTCTGCTCTAGATTTATTAATCATGTCTTGCTTCATGGGCAGAATCTCTGCTATTGTCTTAGAAATTATTTCTGATTTCACTTTTTCAAGGTCCTTTTTTATTGCCAGTTCAGTGTGTCCACGTGGTTGAATATCAGATTGTTCCATCTCGTTTCCCTTTGGGGTTTCCTTAGGTGATCTGGAAAAAAATATGCAAGAGTTCACAAGTTTGCATGGCATCCTTGCTCAGGGGCCATGTTAATCTTCTCTGTATCATTCCCGTGTTAGTATATGTTCTGCAGAAGTGAACAGAATCTGGGAGTTTCTTTTTGTAAATGTTTTTCTTGATAAGTGCAAAAAGTTATATTTTATTTTTTGATCCATTCCACAAGTCTGTGTGTGTGGACAGGAGATTTGAGACTATTCACATTGAGCATTACTTACTCCCGATATTGCATTGTTTTCCTTTCACTCATTCAATAATTTTTGCTTTTTGTTTTTGCTTAGTTACTCATCCAAAAAGGTGTATTCATTCTTTTTTGTCTTATTAGCATTATTGGCTTCATTGTCACTTTATAAGATATCCTTGAGTATTTTTGTAATGCTGGCTTGTTGGTCATTAATTTCTTGAGGTTCTCTTTGCATTGCAAAGATCTCATATCTCTATCAATTTTAAAGGATTTTTTTGCATAATACAGATATTGGGATTGAAAGTTTTATATTTTATGGCCTGAAATACTTCACCATAAGCTCTGTTCTATATGCATATGTCTCCTTTTTGAAATGGGAATAATTGCTGTGTATCATTGTATATTGGAAATATGTAACTTAATTTGTGAGTATTATAGGACTTCATAAGAGTTTGTTTTGAATCTCAGAGAATATGTTTTAAAATTAATTGTATTGGTTCACTTTTGACATGCATAATAATCACATTCATTACAGAAAATTTTCACCTGTATATAATATATGTTGATTCTTCTTTTTTCTCCATTCCTCTTTGGTACATTCAACCCTTCTTTCCCTACTTCTTTACAGAAGCTTTGTTTCTATTTTTTCCATCAGTTCTCTTTTTTCCTTTTCCCTTCCTTTCCCCCTTGTTTCCCTTCATATTTTCACATTTGGATCCTAATTCCCAATATCTATCACCTGTTTGGGTTCTTATTTACCCTTTTGGTTTCTCACAGACCTAAAAAACTCCACCAAAAGACTTCTAGACTTAAGAGACAGATTCAGTAGAGTAGCTGGATACAAGGTAAACACTCAAAAATCAATAGCCTCCTTGTACACAAATAACAGACTTATTGATAGAGAATTAGGAAAATAATCCCTTTCACAATAGTATCCAAAACAATGAAATATCTAGGAGTCAGTCTAACAAAGGAAGCAAAAGACCTCTACATTGAGTACTACAACATTCTGATAAAAGAGATCAAAGAGGATGTAAGAAAATGGAAAGATAGCCTTTGTTCCTGGTTAGGAAGAACCAAAATAGTGAAAATGCCATACTTCCAACACTGCTATACAGATTTAATTCAATCCTGATACAAATTCCAAAATTGTATTTCACAGAACTAGAGAAAACAATCAAAAAATTAATTTGGAACCAGAAGAGACCTAGAATAGCAAAAGCTATTCTAAGCAACAGAGGCATGACAGGGTTATCACACTCCCAAACTTGAAACTATAATACAAAGCCACTGTGTTAAAAACAGCATGGTACTGGCAAAGAAACAGACCTGAGGATCAGTGGGATAAATTAGAAGATGCAGAAAGAACACCAGACATACTCAGCTACCTCATCTTTGACAAAGGAGCTAACCATCCTCACTGGAGGAAAGATAGCCTCTAATAAATGGTGTTGGAAAAACTGGATTTCAACTTGCCAAAGGGGATAACTTCAATTCCTTTGCATTTACCTAAGAATGTTCTATGAGCTAGTATGTGGTCTATTTCAGAGAATGACCCTTGTGAAGTTGAAAAGAATGTATATTCTGATTTTTTGGGTTGGAACATTCCATAGACATCTACTAAGTCCATTTGTTCTAAGACGTCAATCATTTCTATTTACTTACTTATTTATTTATTTATTGGTACTGGGGATCGAACTCAGGTCCTTGCTTATGCAAGGCAGGTGGTGGAACCACTGAGCTAAATCCCAGGCGATAAAGATTACAGAAGGCCACTGTTTTATGTAGGGATTTTTTTGTTGTTTTGTTTTGGGTTACCAGGGATCAAACTCTGGCCCTTTTGCTTGCAAGAAAGGCAGAAGAACCACTGAGCTAAATCCCCAGCAAATGAACATGAACAACCTGGGCCTGAAGGTACTTTTTGTTTTGGTACGACTTATCGAACTTGGGTCCTTGTGCTTGTGAGGCAGGTGGCAGAACCACTGAGCTAAATCCCAGTCCCTCATTTCTGTTATTTTGTTGTTGAATTTTGTCTAGATGATCTGTCTATTTGTGTAAGTGAGCTGTTGAGGTCCCACACTACAATTGTATTCATTCTTATTTCATTTTTCATAACCATTAATATTTGTTTTGTACAGTTGGGGGCATTAGAATTTGGTGCATATACATTTATGATTGTCATTTCTTTCTCTCCTATTGTTCCCTTTATAAGGATGCAATATCTCTTCTTTGTATCTCTTAATTAGTTTTTATTTGAAATCTGCTGTATCTGGAAATAAGATAGCTACCCCCACTTTATTCTGCACTCCTGCTGCATGGAGAACTGCTTTCCATCCTTTTACTCTCATCCTCTGAATTCCTTTTTGGATTAAGTGATTTTCTTGTATACAGCATATTGTTGGATTTTGCTTCATAATCCATTCTGCCAGTATATTTTACTAGACTGGTGAATTGAGGCCATTAACATTTAGAGTTATAACTGATATGTATAGAGTTATCATTCTCATGTTATTGTCATGTTGTTTCTCTTTTATTTTGTATTTTCTCCTTTCTTCCTTTAATTCCATGCCTTACATGATGGATTTTCTATGTTTGGGCCTCGTGGAGTTGTGACATTCATTATTTTTTCTAGGATCTTGTTTAGAATTGTTTGGAGTGCTGGTTTGGTATTCATTAAGATTCTCACATGTTCTTTGTCATGGAAGTATCTTATTTCCCCACCAATTTTGAAAGATAGTTTTACAGGATACATCAATCTAGGTTTCAGCTTGTTTTCTTTAAGAACTTGAAATACCTCACTCCAGGCTCTCCTTGATTTAAGGGTTTGTGTTTTAAGTCTGCTGTGATTCTGATGGGCTTTCCTTTGCATGTGATTTTTTTCTTTTCTCTAATTGTTTGTAGTATTTTGTTCTTCTGTTGAGTTTGTGGTATCTTGATTATTATATGTCTGTCTAGGTGTAGATTTTTCTTTGATCATAGCTAGCTGGAGTCCTATATGCCTCACTTATCTGTATGTCAAATTCTTCCCCTCTGGGAGGTTTTCTGTCATTAATTCTGTGAACAGTTTTTTTTTTTAAATGTCACTTGAACATTCTCCTGCTACTTAATGGATTCCTATCAGTCTTATATTTTTCTTCTTTGCATCATCTAAGAGTTGTTTGATCAATTTCTCATGATCCCTTACTATTTTTTTTTTTGTGGTACTAGTGATTGAACTCGGGTCCTTGTGCTTGTGAGGCAAGCTCTGAACCACTGAGCTAAATCCCCATCCCTTACTGTTTTTAAGAGATCTCTCTTCTCATGGTCACTGACTGCAATTCTATCTTATCTGTTTGAAATTCTGTCTTTACATTTGTCCATTCTGCTGCAAATGCTTTCTGTAGAGTTTTTAATCTCCTGGAAATCTGTTTGAATCTTCTTCATGGATTCCATTTCTTTCCTATGTTAGGCACTCAATGTTTCCATTTCTATCCTATGCTAGGCATTCATAGATCCCATCATGGTCCTGAGCGCATTGTTGGGATCATGTACCTTTACATGGCAAGTCTTGATTCTCATTTTTTTCCCCCTTACCTCTGCCCTCCCTTCACCCCCTTATCACACCTTCCCTACACCTTTAGCTCCTTTCCTCCCATTTCTAAATGTCAGTAATCTTATTAGAATCTTATGCATTGTTGCAGAATATTCACACCAGGGAAACTATTTGGTATTTACACATGTGGGACTTATTTATTTCACTTAGGAGTATATCTTCAATATGTATCCATTTTCCTATGAATGAATCTATTCTCTCGCTCTTTATGGCTGAGTAATATTCCATTTTATAGAAAAACCACAACTTCTTTATCCAGTTTCCAACGGATGGGCAAATAGGTTGTTTCCAAGATTTAGCTATTAGCGCATCTATTTTTAATCAGCTTCTGTTCTTGAGTCTCTAATAATTTCTTTCATTCTTCTCACCATCTCTGTGGTTATTTGGGAAATTATTTTTGTTTTGAATTTTTCTAGAGCCTCATTGATTTGTTTTGTTACTTCCTGTGCTATTGCATCAAGGTGTCTTGATAGTTGACTGTCAAACTTTTCCACTTAATTTCCCCCAGAGTTTACTTTTGGTGTGTTGGAAGTCTGTATTTGTGCCTTGTTTAAATATGTTCTCATTTCTATTTTTGTCATTGGTCCTGTCCTTGGTTTAATTCCTGGGTTAATACTTTGATTTTCCAGATATAGCTGGTCTTTAGGTTTTGAGTCTCTGAGGCAATCTCATTTTCATTATACCAGGGAGAACATCTGATTAGATCAATCACAACACCTTAGACCAATGATACAATCAGCAACAAAATAGCATCAAGCACAACTTAGAAAATGACAATTTGTGGTAGTTATTAATCTATCACCTTTAACTGTGTGAATTAAATAAAAATCAAGGACCTGCCTAAAATATATTTATAGTGAATAAACTCTTCAATATAGCAACTTTACCTTTCAGGATGGGGATTTAGAAGGATTTGGAGAGGGAGGGATAGATATAGCATAGGGAAAAGTTAGAAGTGAGGTCAAAAGGCACAGGAAGATCTCACAAACTCTTGGAAGCTGTTGAAGAGGAGGAGAGATGACAGAACAAAATATAACCAAGAATAGAACAAACTAACAGCAACAGGGAGGCTAGAGACTAATCACTTTCTTTTGAAACTAGTGGCAATTGAGAGAAGGAAAATGAGAAGAAAGGGAAAAAGAAAGAAAATAAATTTGAATCAGGATAGGAATAGGAAAAAAAAGAGAGAAAAATGAAGATCAAGTTGTGTGCATGTGTGTGTGTATGTCTGTGTGTGTGAGAGAGAGACAGATGAAGATAAGAAAAATAAATAAAAAGGAACAAAACTTGAGAAAACAAGATAAAAAA